GAGCCTGAGGAGTCGAGCGGAGAGGATTACGCTCAAAGTGATGAAGAGGTTGAGGAAAATGTTGAGGGGGCTAGTGAGGAGGAAAGTGGAGATGATGTCAGTGGTAGTGGGGAGGATGAGGATGAAGAAGGTGATGAGATGCAAATTGATCCCTCCATCCAGTTTGTGGTGAACATGAGAAATCCAGTATACCATCTCGAGGCATCATGATCAGTTCTTGAGGCCTCGGGACACCCCGGATCCCCGGTTTCACACCGCTTTGCAGAAGACTGTGTATGAGCAGGTTTATGCAGGGAAAGCTTTTGCAGAGCATAAGTGGATTTCTTGGAGAGACATCAATGAGACTCCAGAGTTTGAGAGCTTGCATGATCTCTTCAAGATAGTTGGCATTGACTGGATTGTGACCCTCAAGCAAGACTACAATGAAGATTTGATCCGACAGTTCTATGTTACAGTGTGGGTGGCTAGAGACTATAGTGAGATGAAGTGGATGTCTGACACCCTCCAGTGTTCTATCTCTCGGAGGCAGTTCCGGCGGCTCCTCAACATTCACTTGGATTTTAGAGATGATTTGCATGAGGAGCACACTCACAATCCGCTCTCCATAGACTATCTCTCTCAGTTCTATGAAGATGGAGTGCGGTACACACATGAGAAGGTTGACGGCTTGAGGACTATCCCTAGTGTGGTCAACAGGATTGTGAGAGCCACTATCCTCCCTCGCCTTGGCAACAATGATGACATTAGGGGGGTGGCTTGGCACGTCATCGATGCTATCATTCAGGGTCGTCAGTTCGACATTGTGTCTCTCATGATGCAAGAGATTGCTATCTCCAAGAGGACATTCACTCAGGGAATCTATTATGCCCCTTACATCATGAGGTTGATTCAAGACAAGCTTGGGGCTGCTGGGCAAAATTTGAAGAAAAACAAGCAGTATAAGCCCCGCCTTCAGCTTGGAGCTCCCCGTGCTCCTAGGACGCTACCCTCTTCTCACCCTGGAGCTAGCTCAAGCTCAGCACCTCCTCCTCCTCATGGGTATGATCCAAATGCTTTCTTCCATCCACAGTATGCTTACTTTGGAATGCAACCCAATGAATACTTCAACCCGGTACTTGGGGCTATTAATACCCTAAGTGAAAGCATTCAACGCTTGTCTACCGGGCATGAAGCATTGCATGAGGATGTTCGTGGCTTGCGCACCAATGTTGGAGACTTGAATGCTTCCGTGGGAAGATTGCACACTAGGGTGGGTGTATTGGATTCTTGAGTCCAAATGTTGGAGAGCACCCAAGCTTTTGTATATCATCGCCGCCATGATGCTCCTCATCCTTCATCTTCGGCTCGTCCTCCTTCTCCTCCACAAGAATGAAGACCTTTTTTGGTACTTGATGCCAAAAGTGGGAGAAAAATGTCCTTAGGTGTGCTTTATGTCTTGTGGGTTGGGACTAGTGGTAGTGAGGTTAGTCACCTCATATCTAATAGGTAAGGTGTTTTGGGCTATATTATGTATGGGTATGAGCTATTACCTTATCTTGTGTATTATTTTTCGTCTTGTTAAACTCTAGGTCATTTGGACCCTTCGTGGTCTTGTAATAGCCTATGTTTATTTGTGAGCCCTTTTAGGATGATTTGTGACTTATGTGATTTGGATGGTTAAGTGATGTGAACTTGTGCGATGATGAAAGGTGTATGTGATATTGATATATGTGACTATCTTATGCTCATGGATGAATATGTCTTGAAGTTCACATTAAAATATTGCTTATGTGTTTGTGCTTGTTGAAATGTGAAATTGAAATGTGCATTGGCTCTATATTTGTTGATTGTGATTGTTATGCACATGTTTAGGGGGAGCTTTTGATTTCCATTGCAATATATGTCCATCTGTTTCATGTTTGATTATATATGTTTGATTTCCATTGCAATATATGTACATATGTTTCATGTTTGATTATATATGTTTGAGTGTTTGTCATCAATTGCCAAAACGGGGGAGATTGAAGCATCTAGGCCCCCATTGTTAATTTTGTTAATTAATGACAAGCGCTAATTGTGGACTAACCGTTGCTATTGAGATATATTTTAAGTTAGATCCACGTCATGTGTGCGCATGGATGATTATCGATGGATTAAAATTTGATGGCACGAAGCAAAGAAAAGAAAACGGTAAAACTAGTGCTTTAGTTTTAAAATTGATCGAGGTGGAGAGCGATCAAATTTGCTAGTTTATTTTTAGTTTCGCCGTACTATCAAGGGGGGTAATGACCTCGCAATGAGATGATTTTAATTGCCACATTAGGTCATTATGCATTTAGACTTGTGCTCACATTTCACCACACACACACTTCTCACATCCCACACAGTTTCACTGTGTTCGGCCTGACCAGGGGCGGTCAGACTGGCCACATAGTGGCGGTCTGACCGGAGTGCCCAGGCCAGTCTGACCGGCCACAAGACGGCGGTCTGACCGGCGCATAATGCCGGTCTGACCGGCGACAAATGAGCGGTCAGACCGGCTCTCTGGTGGCCGGGATGGTGCCGCTCGGGGTGGCCGATACAGAGCCGACGGAGCCGTATTCGGTCAGACCGAGCTGATGGTGGTCTGACCAAGCTGAGGCCGATCTGACCGGCCACTCAACGTCGGTCTGACCTGCCAGGCCGATGAGGCCCTCTGACAGGGCTACAACGGCTAGTTTTCTAGCCGTTGCAGAGTAGCACGGTCTGACCGGCCACATACCTCCGGTCAGACCGACATAGCACAGAGTTGGGGGATTTCGCCCCCAACGACTAGTTTTGGTTGGTGGGAGTATAAATACTCCCCCTCCAGCAATAAGGGGGCTCTCTTGGCACCCAATTCAATTGCATACACCCCTTGCACCTCTCTCACACACCTTTGAGCTAGTGTGGTAGAGGTAGAGGTTGTTCTAGCCAAGAGTCAAGTGCATTGCTTCCATTTGTAGAGCTAGTGTGGCACTTGATTGATCATCTCCACGCCGGGTCATTACTTGTTATTCTTGGAGGTTGCTGCCTCCTAAACGGCTTGTGGAGGAGTTGCCCGGTGACCTCTCCTAGAAGATTGTGGAGGAGGTCCGGCGCTGGTTTGTGAGTGATTTGGAGTTCACCACCTTCGGAGTGAAGGAAGAACTACCCCGAGTGATCGAGGCTTGGGTAGTCCTCTCCGTGGGCCGACTCCCGCCTTGCCCACCCCTTGACGAAGGGGGCGTGCGGTGGCGTGGTTGAGCGGTGGAGTTGGGCTCGCCTCAATGGGGAGTAGGAAACCGGCGAATTTCCGAACCTCGGTGAAAAATCTCTTGTCTCCTTGTCTCATTTGATTGTCGCATTTACATTTGTGCAATTTACATTCCTAGAGACATTCTAGAGATCATATCACCCTAGGATTGCAAAACATTGATATAAGAGTGTGATTTACTTTCCTAGAGAATTAATTGAGCCACTATCACCCTAGGTTTGCAAAACATAACTTAGTTGCTTAGTTAGACTTAACCCTCACCGAGCCTAGCAACCTAGGTTAGTTTTGTTTAGGTGTCATTTATTTTTAAATCGCCTATTCACCCCCCCCTCTAGTCGACATCTCGATCCTACAGATGGGGGGTGGGTTTTGCCCCCTTGGGGGAGGGGAGGTGGGTTAGAGGGAGGGGGCATAGAATAAGGGTTATAAGTTTCATAGTAACATAGTGTGTTACTGCGATTATTTGATAACGTTATGGCAAGAATATGTATAGTAAGAAAAAAAAGGTGCAGTAACATATAGAGAGATGAATTGGCTCGGTTTACTCATAGGGCAAGGGTAGAGAGAACTTTCAAAGATTGGTCTTTTGAAATTTAACTCTCCACAAGTAGTAATACTACTCCCTCCTAGGATGGGTCTCATTCCATTCTAGGTTGCTATATTCTGAAACGGAGGGAGTATATCATAAGTGTTGTTACTATCTGTTGTACGTTACTACAATCCTATCATGACGTTACTATGAAAGTGTGGTAAATATTATAAGTTTTACAGTAACAAAGCGTCTTCTGCAATTCTTGAATAATGTTACTGCATAAAGTTGTGGTAATGTGTATCTGCCATGTAGTAACACTTACACTTTTGTGCAGTAACAAATATATGGTTAGCATGTAGACTTTTAACTCATATATTTTTGTTTTGATTCCTAGTTTACTACCGTTTCACCACGATGTTACTATCAAAAGTACAGTATTTTATAGCAACGTGACGTGTTACTTTACTTATACGATGATGTTACTACTGAAACATAGTAACTTGTTATGAGTTTTTTAATAACATATCTATTTTTCTTCTACTTTGGGAGTGAAAGAGATTAGAATCAGTCACCATATTTCTTTCTCACAAAGTGAGATACAAAAGAAACAAGCAATAATCCTTAAAACAAATAATATCATTGGATGGATTGGTTAGAATAGCATTGGATGGATTGGTTAGAAGAGCTTGCTATGAACTATGAGATTATGGGTTCACTAGTAATCGTGCACGTGCAATGCACGTCATGTTAAACTTATTTATTCAATTTTATTAATAGTTAAAAACAAAAAATTCATTCTAACTAACATGAAAAATAAGTGACAAATGAGGGACTTCTTCGGTGAAGAACAAGGAAAAAACCCTCCTTGGTCCCTTTTGTTTCCGCTACCGTCTAAAAGAAGTTTCAGTACTCACTTCATTGAAAGAAACTTTTGCAAGTGCCACCACCATTTAAATCATAGCAACTAATTTCATCATAAATAAGCAACTATATCCCCTCACCATAACAATTTGCGACCACCGGATAAAAACAATAATTCAGTTAAGGGTTAAGGTAATCAACATGTTTCACTGTCAGTTCTGTCCAGGGATGAATTTGCTATATATGGTTTAATACTATACAATTACCCCCATTGTGCATTTGATGTATATGGTTTGACAAAACCCTACAAGTGTAAATACCATGTGAAAAATGGGCGCACATAACACAATCATGTCATAGGGAATATAGAATTTTTTAAGTGCACAATTATATCAGAGCACAACATCAGTTCAAATGAATTCATGTAAAAAACAACTATTGCAATCGAGCCCAATTTGAAGAGGAATTGGACGGATGTATTCACAGTAAGGGAAAAAAACTATTGCCTAAGAGGTCAGCTTCGTTCGCAAGAAAATATTGAGACGTCAGTTTGACAACTGTGACACAAAGAAGTACGTAAAACTGTGACATCATGAGCTCAAAAACCTCCTTTGCAGCTTTGGTTCCTCCTAATTAATGAAGCCAAAACATGGATGTCACTACAAATTACTGCATCCTCAATCACCAAGCCATCAACCTATGGAAGCAAAACCTCACATATCACCTGAAAAAAAAGGAAAGTTCAAGAGTCAAATCATCAAGCTACTGCTGATCATGGGAGAACAACTGGTGGAGCATGTATATCCATCCAAACAATGTTGCAGAATTTTTCTTCTAAAGGAATATATCTGCATAGAGAAATTTAGCAAGAAAATTTGCTTGCTTAAACCAAAACGTGTCCTCAAGTAAAATTGATAGAAACCTAGCTTAAAGGAAACAGCCAGTGCATTTAACCATAATACAGAAGTAACCTCACCTGACTATTCATTGCTTGTCATTGCTTTTGGTATTTCAATACCAAGAAATCAAATTTGATGATTGAAGACCAGTCTCTCTCAATGTAGCAGTTACCTTGAAAACCAAAGGAGAAAATAGATTATACAACATTCATGGCATGTCTTTCCTTTAGTGAACAGCATTCGAGGCTTCAAGCTTGAATAATAGTGGGAATAAATTTTAGGGAGTATACAAATATTTCAACCAAACAAAATAATTTATATTAAAGGAGAAATCAAAATCTTTGCTGCTTCTCACCTTATCCACCGAGCAGTGGTTGTCAGGTATAAACTTTGTTGTCATGAATTTTTCCTTAGTAGTTCCAGAGGGAACATGAACTTGATTGATGCCAATGCTTGTGATGAGTTCATTCACCCATGCGACCAGTAATAACTCCACAAGGTATTCTCGATGCATTATGAAATTACGTTTCACTGGAGCTACTTCAGCTGTAAATTACATAAATATAGTTTGGATGCAAACACTCAAATTGTAATTTTGTGAGAGTAAACAGTTCAGACCAACTTCAGTGAAGTCTGTCTAATTTACAAGCAAACTGAGCAAGACATTAACTACTGAGTTCCACTAAGATATGCCACTGAAACACCCAAATCGCTCAACATTGCAGAAATTCCTAGTTAACTAAAGTGCCAAGACCTAAAAGAAATTTGAATCCAAAGGAAAGGAAAGATGCATGTGATTCAATAGATTGGGAGAACCTGAGACTGAGATGTATCATGAATGGATCCCCAAATAAAGCACAGTAAGGAGGGGGAGGAGGACACAACTGCTCCTACCATTGGTGAGGGTCGCCGCTGGAGGTAGAGATTGAAGAGTGGCGTGCTCCCTCCGTCGCGCTCACAAGTCTGGCTGGCGACTATAGTGTATCAATGCATGACGACAATGACCAACGGCGGGGCACGGCTCGATGAACAGAATTAAACAAATAAAATTTCTATTGAAAATATGTCGAGTGAATTTAACATTGGCCAAACAAATTTGTCCTCATTGCACCTGTTGACGGCTGCTGACCTGATGTTCCAAGTGGAATTTGGATAAAATTCAAAGCAATTTGGTAAGCATATAATTAAGTTAAACAATCATATATAACTAAACATTAATATACAGCTAAACAATCGTAATGGCCGTATATGTAGAAAAAATGAGGTCTTGAGGTTCAGAAATTATCTCCAATCCTAGACAGCTACTATTATGTTCCTCTGTAAACTATTCAGCTTGAACTGTACATGTTGTCATATAGTGAAGCATTTGAGATCTCCAAACCTATGACAAATCAGGAGTATGGAATACAGGGAGAAAAAGCATTGAGCTGGAAGAAGCAACCATCAGCAATACAGGTTGAGATCTATTAGAAGTATATGACAAATCGCTATAAAACAGAATACAAAAAATACATTGAGCAGTAAAAAACAATTTGAGAAGCAAACCATCAAAATTTTGCGAGATCGAGATGATATCAAGATATATGAGCAGTACATACATGTGACATCTGTTCTCATCCAATTAGTTAGCTGCAAAACCGATTTGCAAATGAAGCAAAATATGGAGTGTATTGACCTGGCCTTGCAGTAGGTCCGGATGTAGAGCTTACTGCATTGACCATGGAAGTGGGCTGAGGGGAGGAGCCGATTGACCTGAATAACCCACACAATAGATGAATTGATTAATTGAGCAGTCAATTGATCGATATCCTCGCTAACAAGAAAATAGACGTAGGTGGGCATTGGGCACGCCGATGGGTAAACACATTCTACTTCTGTCCAACGACCACCGTAAACCTAAATGGTTTGCATTATGTGCGCAAATAAGATAAATCTAACAAAGACACTATAGGAGGCTGGTGCATGAACCGAACAGAAACCCCCTCCAAATCATGAGCGCAAACCCCACATTCCCCTCCATAGACCCGCAAATCAACTATCACAACTCTAATTTCGATCGGTTATCCTGAGCCCACCGAACGGCAATTGAGAATAACCGGAAACAATTTACCATGGTAAGACCTAGCTGATTGTGTAGCTCCAGCCTTCTGGACCTATTGAAGATAACGTGCATCAAATCAAACACATGTACTGCAAATTATTATGTGAAACTGCACATACTTGATTCAGTAAAATGTATAACTGCTGTGAATTATTAGTTAGATTAACCAGAGACATTCAAGTACATTTCCTGGAGATAATTCAACCACTGGAGATAGTTCACATGGTCACATGTTGTTGACATCAATAGGGGAATTAAAGTGGAATCAAAGACAGAATGTATTTGAGCCACATTCAAAGTCATTGAAAAATTCACAAAATATAACCTGTGGCAGTTTGGCACACTTTTTCAGACATTTTCAGTAAGACACAAAATGTAAGTCATTGAAAAATTCACAAAATATAACCTGTGGCAGTTTGGCAGACATTTTCAGTATGTCACAAAATGTAAGTCATTGAAAAATTTGCAGACATTTTCAGTTTTTCAGTATGCAAGTAACCTGTGGCAGCGATGGAGTTTGACGGCGGCGCCGGATGGGGACGACGTCGGCTCCATCCGCGGCCGATGGGGAAGACCACGGCTGCTAGCTGTGGAGTGCGCGGCGGCGGTGGCGATGGCGGTGGAAGGGGCCGGTGGTGGCGGCGGCCGCGGCTGGCGAAGAAGCCGGCTCTGGTGAGGCTGCGGTGGCGCGGCGTTAGTACATGCGGGTAGGAGCGAGGAGGCGAGGAGGATGAGAGGAGGAGCGATGGGACGATGGCGACGAAGAAGTCGGCTCTGGCGTGTCCAGCGGCGGAAGGGGACGGCGGTGGCAGCGGGGGCAGAAGGGGTCGACGGCGGCGGAAGGGGTCGACGGAGGCGGCGGCGGCGGCTGGCAAAGAAGACGGCTCCGGTGAGGCTGCAGCGACGCGGTGCCATGCGAGGAGCGAGGAGGAGGAGGAGGAGGAGAGGATAACCTAGACGCGAGTGGAGAGGCGTAGTCCTCGCACCGTCCCACGTGAATTGAGATCCAGTGCAGTCCATCGCACACGTGGAGAGGCTGTGTATTCGCGTGGTGACGTGGTGAAATAGTACGGTGGAGATTTACATGATTTGAGGATGCACGGTACGGATTGATACAGATGATTTGGCCTGTAGCATTGGAAGGGTGCAACTTCTCCTTTTTATATTAGTATAGAAGTATAGATATAGATGTCTTGAATTTACCAATTTATTTTTTAGTTTTCTAAAAAAGAGAGAAAAGATAATAACACATGTACTTAGCGATGTTCATGTCTTGAATTTACCAATTTATTTTTTAGTTTTCTAGAAAAAAGAGAAAAGATAATAACACATGTACTTAGCTTCCTACAACTATGTAACTTTGTGTGTCCTGTGGAGTAATAACAGTTTAGGTGTTTTCACAGTAACCAAATGTGTTACTAACATTTCTTCTCGAAGATTGGTCTTTTAAAATTTCTCTCTCCATAAGTAGTAATACTAAACCATTATTGTTACCACTTTTCATTGTGAGTTACTACCATTCCATCATGACGTTACCGTATGTGTGTAATAACAACTATAATTTATAATTTTTACAGTAACATTGCTTGTTACTGCAATTTTTTAATAGTGTTACTACAATAACATGTGGTAACAATCGAACACAGATACAAGACCTACCACCCACCTTGAACTAGTAAAGGTAGGTGCAAGTGATATCTTTTTGAATTCTCATCTTTAAACAATGATATCTCTCACACCATATTATATTTTTGAACCGTTTACACCGTAATGCTTTAAAAAATGAGCTCTACAAAACTAGATCCGTCATAAATATATTTTAACTATATTTCATCAGTGTTACTGCAAGTAACTTACAACGTTACTGCATGGTGGTCATCCTATTACTGCTCTGTTTATACGAGACGAGGACATCAAATAGGTGCACGTGGAAGGAAGTTAGCATCCGGGTTTAACTGACGTGGCAGTGATTTGAGGTCCTTTGACCATGCTTTGATTTGGGTGGAAGGTGGATTATAAGTCATGAAAGAAGGGGGAGGTGGGTTGGGCCCTTCAGGGGGAGGGGGGTTATGAGCCCAATGAAAGAAGGGGGAGGTGGGTTAGACCCTTCAGGAGAAGAGGGGAGGTGGGTTATGAGCCCAATGAAAGAAGGGGAGGTGGGTTGGGCCTTGTTGAAGGGGAGGGGTATAGAATAGCCTCACCCTTATTAATTAATGGATTATAAATAAAAAAGGGACAATTTCGTTTTTGCCCCCACTTTCATCTCCAATATTGATTTTGCCTCTACTTTTTAGGGCTTTTGTTTTTGCCCCCACTTTTTTTGAACCGAAAGAGGCTTTTGCCCCTGTTTTGGATGGAGAAGTTAACGATGTTAAATAGGACATTTATACCCCCTCTCCCATCGGTACAATCTCAAGAGGGGCGAGGACACGAGGTGGTGGCCGCCGGCAAGGAGCTTGGTGGTGGCGACGACGACGACGGTGACGATGTCTCCTCTTCGTTTCTCCCGTGCCCCCACCGCTGCTGCCTACCCTCTCCCCGCCGTCTGGCCGCCGCTCGCCGCTGCCGATGGGAGGAGTTGCCCCCTAGCCGCCGCCGCCGCCGCCGCCGCCTGGTCGCCACCACCGCTCGCAACCGCCTGGCCGTCGCTTGCCACCGCCGACGGGAGGAGCTGCGCCCTAGCCTTCCATCGTCGCCTGGCCACCGCCGCCGCCTGTCCCTCTCCCCGCCGCCTGGCCGCCGCTCGCAGCCGCTTGGCCACCCCTCGCCACCTGGTCATCGCTGCCGCCGCCTGTCCCTCTCGCAGCCGCCTGGCCGCCGCTTGCCGCCGCCGACGGAATTTGTTAGACTAGTGCCAGGGGTAAAAAAGTAAAACACAAATTCGAAAAAAAATATTTCATTTATTTCTCTATTTTTTTTACTGCCATATACCCGGTCCCACTAACTTCCATTCAATGTAGGGGTAAACGCCTCTTTCAGTGAAAAAAGTGGGGCAAAAACCGAAAACCTAAAAAATAGGGGCAAAATCAATATTGGAGATGAAAGTGGGGAAAAACGAAATTGTCCCATAAAAAAATGGGGCCCGTGCTGGTAGATTCGATCAGCTGCTTTGTACGAATAAATCGGAAGCCGTCACGACCATCAGTAGCGGAAGAGCCGCCGGGGCACCGGAGATTAGGAGGACATGTGGTGCGCCTCGTGCCTGGCGTCCGCCTGCGCGGGCTGCACCTGCAACCTGTGCGCGTCGGCGTTGTCCGCCATCTCCCGCCGCTCCGCTCGCCTCGCCTATTGCGGCCTCTTCGCGGCCTCCCTAATACTCTCCTTCCTCATGCGCCAGTTCGCCACGCCTCTCCTCAAGCAAATCCCATGTACGTGCCCACCACCACTCCCCTCCCACATATCCCATCCCCTTCCTTATCTTGTTAGTAATCTGGTCCTGATTCCTCTTGATTTCAAGGGTTCCCCTTCTCTAATTGTGACTGCATGTTGTAATTGATGTTTTTTTAATGTAGTTGTAATAGGAGGCTTTGGCTATTTTACACTACTGATTTGATTTGGGGAATTCTCGGGTGCTTCACAGTCATTTTGCTTTCTGATGGCATGCAATTCTGAAAACAAATTGAGGATCCATTTTTGGGACAGCCATGTGTATGGAATAGTGAATTTGTTCTTGTTACCAGCGTCGTGTAAACTTAAAATGGGAGAGGAGTTGCCAACATGTCATAACGTTTTATAAATTGAAACTGAGGTATCCACATGTTATTGTCATTTGTAACTAGAATGATACGGATCTATGTTAGCCCCCCTAGTAGAGTGAATTCTAGAAAATCCCAGGTATTATAGTCTAAGTTGCATAAAACTAGAAATGTTTTGGCATGTGACACATAACCCTAGGTATTATGGTTTTAGTTTCACAAAACCTCACTTTTAACTAATTTGAGTTGCTACTATAACAAAATAAAGAATGCTTAACTAGGTGGCTAATTGATCAAAAGAATACATAAATTCCATATTTGATTTTAGAACTCATAAGTATGGTGGTCAAAGATCAATTGGTCAAAGGTGTGGTTTTATGAAACACTAGAACCATAATACCCAGGGTTATATGCCATGTGCTCCTTGTGATTTTGTGTAACTATGACATAATACAAGGGGTATGTGAATTTTGCTCTAGAAACTCTGAAGCATCTGTGCTTGAACATAAACAGTTGATAGGTCAAATGGACATATTCACAAGGATTATGTGAAACCCTTATGTTTGTTACTACCTCCGTCCCAAAATATAGAGTTTGGGTTATACCTCTACGTTTTGTAACCAAGACACGGGTAAATTCTCCAATTGGTGGTCAAGGACAGTGAATGGCTTGCAGAAAAGCAAGGGGCTCAACTCGTTGATTATTTTGGTCACTTGGGAGATTTGGAATCATAGAAACATTTGTGTTTTCAATGGAGCAAACCCTAGTGTGGTGAATGTGCTCCATGCTGTGTCCAGTGAGGCCACGCTTTGGTGTTTGGCGGGAGCTTTGAACTTCGAAGCTCCAAGACCTGTTGTCTAAGGCTTGTAGTTCTTGCACCCTAGGCAGGTTGGCATGTGTTATCTTTGTTCTTAGAGTGGGCGTGTGTTGTGTTCCTATAAGACTTTCAATTGATGGGTGTTGGGGTTTGTTTAAATCCTACATCCCAGCCTTCCTTTCTATCTTTTAATGAAACGATGCGCAGATCTCCTCTGCGTGTTCGAAAAAAATAAGAGTTCGACACGGGTATTAAGAAAGTATGTGGAATTAATTGGGGAGATATTGTGATTGGTTGAGAAGAGGAATTATGAAGATAATTTAAATGGTGGAAGGTTGTGATTGGTTGATTGGTTGAGAAGAGGATGTATGAGAGAGATTGTTATATTTTGGGACAAGTTTTGAATGCTATAAGTTGTTATATTTTGTGATGGAGGGAGTAGCTTTTAGTGCATTTCTTACTTTGATATACTAAATAAGAGGTTCTCTTCCAATATTATTCTTTGACAAAACTCAGATGCAGATGCAAAGGTGAATTTCCAATCCTATCCCCGCTTATGGGATTAGTTTTCATACCTCCCTCTGTAGAGAGGTACTTCCCAAGTAGTGGGAGACTGGGATGTATAATACCTTCCTTCCAAGGAAAGGAGAACACATACATGAATAGCAGTTTTCTTAATCCAGTTCTTTACAAAAATGGATCACAACAGCCAACTTCACATATAAAATGAATATAAAATTTCGACCATCAGATGTGATAAACTTGAACTTTACTCACAACCTTCTGGACAGAAGAATTATATATATTCATAATAAGTTAATATATATAAAATCACGATGCGATGGACCTCTGTAATATCAAAAGAAAATTAGTTTACTTTTCTTAGAATAAAACGAGCAGTCGTTGTTTACTCATTTTGTCTAATATGAAGGAAAAGGGGAAGGTTGTTTTGTTATGCACCGAGGGCTGCAATCTGTGGATTTTCTCAAATAACCACAAAGATTGAGAAGCTATGAGTTGGCATGATATCTTTTCTTTCAGTTAGCTTGTAAATGCTTTTGTAGTAACATTGAATTTATTATTGTGTGCACAGCAAAGGCATAATTGCGGAGTGCTAGAATGGACATACATGTTTCTAGTTCATTATTCAGTAGTCTTGTTTAAATTTAGGCATGTCCAGTGGATACTTAGGGATATTTGGATGGATATAAACAAGTCATGTAGCAGTGAACTGAGGAATAATGGCTCTAGAATCCTTCCTATATAGGATACGGATTTTAGTTTTAGAGGATTTGGGGTCCCCTACTACCCAAGAATTGTATTTGTCGATGTGTTTTCTTATCTTAATAGTAAACAACATTTTACTGTAATGTATTTACTGCACTGGATTTGTATTTCTGTGTAATATTAATAGTAATATTCTCATATTACTAGTAATTCAGGAGTATTTGTGCTTTATGGCCCTAAACTTGTGCCGGAATTTCACATGGGTCTCTGAAGTTGAGAATTGCATATTTAGGGCACTAAATTTGTAGGTATAAATCTTATGTTCTGGTAGCCAGAACTCATGGGCTATAGTAAGTGAAATCTCTTCTATTGTTTACCTATATTCGACATTATTGCCATCCGCTGAAATTCTTTCGAGACGGTAGGTAGCTCTAGTTACAACATGCCAAAACAATAAATCATTGGCATTGACCAAATATTTTCATCAATGTGAATAACATTGCTTATTTATGTAGCTGGGTGCTATATTGTGATATGGGGAATGTGTTTTGTGTTTAAAACTATTGAAGTTTCAAGAGTTCTTTTGGTCAATTTTACCATTGAGTCTTGGACTTGTAGCAATTAAAAGGAACCATTGATGCATTGATTTTCAGTATCATATAAGCGGGCTAAAATTTGAAGTGAATTGCACTGTATTGCAGGGATAAATACGTTTGATTATACACAACCGGATGAATGGTTTCAAATGAATGCTGTTCTTCGTGTCAGCCTTGGGAACTTCTTGTTTTTTGCAATATTTGCTCTGATGATGATTGGTGTCAAAGACCAAAATGACCGGCGTGATGCATGGCACCATGGTGGCTGGATTGCAAAAATTGTTGTCTGGGTTGTTCTCATCGTTCTTATGTTCTGTGTGCCGAACGTTGTTATTACTATTTATGGTAAGCTTTTTATTTGCTAATCATCTATACGTGTGATTTACTGTACACCCATTATTCTTTCCCCTTTCTCTGTTGGCGTGCTACTATTAATGTAAAGAAAGTTCTGGTTGGGTGAGCGATGGCAATGGTTTTGGCCTTTTGGTGCGGGTAAGTAAGTTGTTAGGTGGGCAGTGTGGGTGACTGGGAAAATATTGCAGAAGGAAATGCACCTGTTTTCCCTATAACCAGATTTTGGAAAAGGAAATCTTGTTAAATTGAGTTACTTAGTTTTAACTAAGCCAGTAACGAGCTGGTGGTGAGCTCTGGTCCCAATGCTAAAATTGCATGGAGAGAGTGCCTATTTACCCAAAATAGAAAGGTATATGCAGACTTGTTTTTGAATAATGTTAGATACATATGTAATTTTTTTAGTTGGCTATTACTTTCATGCATATGCAACAGTAGTTCTTGTACCCTGGATTAAAACCATCCAACAGACAGCAGTCCATGTCATGATGGAAGATTATCTAAACTCTAGAATTTAGAATTTTTAATTAAATCGTAAGCACCGTATATAATCTTTTTTGCCTCACTATACACCTGGTTTTGGCAATGCTTTCGTTTTGCAACCCTCGACTGTTATTGCAGTTTAAACCACCCGAAACAAATTAGGGGTAAGGTCTGGTCCAACTCAGTCCAGCCAGACACATGTTATGCGATATGGCCAATCTTCTCTAGAATGCATCTGCAAGCAAAATTAGGTATGGCTGATTACTCCTAGTGTGCTTGAGCAAGCGTACAGTGCAATGCTCAGTGAAATGTGGAACAAAGTGAAATACAAGGCACAATGCTTGGAGCATCAGCAAATTGCAATTTACTCCAAGAATTTTAATTGTTCGGTAGGTAACAAGGTCCAATAATTGTTGAAAGCTAATGCATTGAAACCCTGAAACAAGCCTAAATTTGCATGGTTGTTATTCTTCTAGTAACAAAAGGATGCCAAGATAATTACACAGTGCAGTGTTGATTAGCTTTAGTTCTAATCTATTTCTATTTAAGAATTTGAATTATATTAGTTTGTTAGGCCTCTGTTTGGTACAACTCCAACTTCAACTATTTGGGGGTTGGATATCTCTATCTCAAAGAAAATCTTCGAGTTTAGCTGGGACTATAATAGGGTTGTTAGGGTAAGACATGTTAACCTTGTTGCAGTTAATTGTTGGTTCACACAACATGAACCTCCTTTTTATATTCCCAGATATTAGTACCACGTTTTCATTGGTTCTTATGAACCAGTTATCAACTTATCATCATGCCTCTTGTGTTTCTCTAATTTGAAGATTGTCCATTGCAGAGGTACTGTCAAAATTTGGATCCGGCTTGTTTCTTCTGGTGCAGGTCGTGATGCTTTTAGACTTCACAAACAATTGGAATGACTCATGGATTGAGAAGGATGAGCAAAAGTGGTGTGCACGCTAGTCACCATCCAATGATTCTTGAACCAAAAAATTTCTTTCCTATCACTAATTCTGGTATGTTAATCTTCATGTAGGGAAATTGCTTTGTTGGTAGTAACTGTGGTTTGCTATCTCTCTACATTTGCCTTCTCTGGTTTGCTCTTCACGTGGTTCAATCCCTCTGGTCATGATTGTGGTCTCAATGTGTTCTTCATTACCATGACCATTATTCTTGCTTTTGCATTCGCCATAATTGCGTTGCACCCCCAGGTGACACTTCTACCCACTTCAAGTATTCTCATGATGCGCTCTAATTGTATTTTTTGGTTTAACTAGCTATAAATGCCCGTGCTTGCAACATAAATTAAGTAATTACTTAGATCATGATATGTTTTAGAGCCTCAAAAGCAAAAGAAAATCATTCTTGCTGATCATAAGCTCGCATTTATAAAATAATTTGTACATGTATGTGGAGCTAAACATTAAACTACACCGTTGCTTCTAATAATAGAAAATGAATCTAAATTATTCATATTCTACTAATGTCATATTTTATTGTAGTTTTATTTTCCCACCATTTGGTTCAAATAAATACTCTACCCATTTTTTCTAACTTGCTACGGCACCCCTCCCCACTATTCCCAGGCCCCAAACGACGGCAATGGTGGTGGTGGTGGTGGTGGTGGCAGAACGATAACCACCACTACTCTCTTTTGAACGTAGTATAGACATTGAGCATGCACCATTCCTTATGGGTATACTAGGACAAAGTATGAAGAATATTCACATATGTGTTTTGGTAACCATCACCTATTAGTAATAGCTGCCAAGCAGATAAATTTATTTAAACAACACAATATAAAAATGTTTAGTAATGTTGCTCAGATGTACTTCCTATCCATATTTGTAACTCGATGACAGTCTGCTGTATTCAGTCTTGTCAGTTTGCATAGTGAACCTGAACTGCATTTAGTTCATTCCTGTTGATATTTTGTGATTCTAATAATCCTATCACCAACTATGGATCTGCTGGGTCCACTCATATTTTTCTACTGGGTCATAATATTGATTACGCTTATGTTTACATTTATAACAGACGTGGGATTGAATTGAATGCCTCTGATGAAACAAATATCAAATACATTAGTTATCTCCTGCTTTCGTTGGTTCCTGAAGAAATAATGTGAACTTGTAATGTTTCCTTGCCCAGGTCAATGGAAGTGTTATGCCTGCTTCTGTTATTTCAGTTTACTGTGCATACCTGTGTTACACTAGTCTCTCGAGTGAACCAGATGACTATGCATGCAACGGACTTCACAGACACTCTAAGCAGGTTTCAATGAGCGCTCTTATACTCGGGATGCTCACAACTGTTCTCTCTGTCGTGTACTCTGCTGTTCGTGCTGGATCTTCCACTACATTTCTTTCGCCACCATCATCTCCTAGATCTGGTACGTAACTGCCAATTACCAAATACCCAGTCTCCATCTGTGTGCATGCTGGCTATCTTGCTAATCAACAATGCAATAGGAATCAAGAATCCTTTACTTGGTGATGATAACGTGGAGGCGGGGAAAAGCAACAGTAAAGAAATTGATGCGCGCCCCGTGAGCTATTCATATACATTTTTTCACGTTATCTTTGCTCTTGCAAGTATGTATTCAGCCATGCTTCTGACTGGCTGGACGAGCGCTGCTTCAGACAGCTCGGAGCTGATGGATGTTGGATGGACAACTGTTTGGGTTCGCATCTGCACTGAGTGGGCTACGGCTGCATTGTACATCTGGACCCTTGTTGCTCCCCTGCTATTTCCAGACCGGGACTTCTCATAGGCATGTCAAGCATTGTTAAAAACGTGGTTAAACCATGAAATTATATATATATATATGTTTGTGTGTGTGTATGTACGTACGTACGTACGTACGTACGTACGTACGTTATTCGTTGTGGGAAGCCAGTAGTTATGTATAAAGTCCTTATTGACATGTACGCCCTCCCGTTTTTTTAAATATTTAATGCAATTTGATTTTTGGACAAACGTTAACTATTTGCTTCATTCGAAAATTTTGTGTCAATATCCATTCATTTTATTCAACACTTTTGTGTAAACACAAAAAATATAGGGTTAACAGTGCTTGAAGTAACTTTAATGACAAAAAAGATCATAACAAAATAAATGACTATAATAATAGTTATGTAAATTTTTTCAATAATATGAATGGTGTCAAACACTAAATATGTATAGGGAAATTTTGCTACAGTACGCTGCTATTGTGTGGTTTTAGCCCTAGGACACTGCAAAAAATTAACTTTTAGGGAAAAACACTCCATAATTGTGGCATTTTGCCGGTGGATGTTGGATAGTATAGGGGAAGAGGAATACTGCAAATATTGGACACATTGTATGGAGCCTCGGGAGCTAGTATATATAGGAGTATATAAGGAGGAGATAAGGAAGGATTATAGATTTGGAAGGAATCCAAACAAATCAATCATATCCTAATACATCTCTAACTACCACATACTCTAATATCCCCCCGCAGTTCAAGTGTTCACGTCGAACACTTGGACTGGAGAAAAAAAACCGACAAGAGTACTCAACACGATGATAGCCCTTTGTGCCGTAGTCGATGTAGCTAAAACGAAGGAGCCGAGAGAGCCGTGGTCGATGAAGCCGTGCGTAGAGTAGCCGTGGTCGATGTAGCCGAGATAGGGAAGCCTATGATGTCGAGGTAGCTGAGCCGCAAGGCGCACATGGGGCGCCGTAGAGTGGTCATGGACGGACGGGAGGGCGTCGTGGACCAATGGTGTGCGAGGACGCGCTGGAGACAAAGACGGTGACACAATCGCGGTAGTCGTTGAGGAAGATGACGCCGAAGAGCCGATGTAATCGAACCGTGATGGACAAGACATCACGCCGGGTTTGCCAGACCCGAGGACAACTCGGGACGAACACGCGCCATGGTGTTGCCAATACCGCGCGGGCGAGGCAGGAGACCACTATGAATCATACGCCATGTCGGAGGAGACTAGCAAAGAAGGCATCCGGGACGGTCGCGACGCGAGAACTGTGTAGAGGGAGAATTGCCGGAGCAGCACGCAGTTGACGGAGAAGAGCGAACTGTAGTCGAGGAAGATATGGCGACGTTGGCGATGAGACATGTTGGACAACGAAGAAGGCAAAATAGCGGGACCAACGGCCTAGACGGCGACGTCAGTAGCCATGTAGAGGTTGCTGGACCACCGGCCTAGAGCGGTGATGGTGGCAACTTGGAGATTCGACGGCAATGCTCGAAGTTGAGGAAGAAGACACTGAGCGGCTGACAATGACCAGTGTGCACAACGAGGTTGTCAATGCGCGAACGGCAATGAAGACGACGAAAGTGGCGAAGCTGCGGTCCGAGAGGGCAACACAGCTACAGCTCCATGTCGATGCAGCGGTGAGAAGTTGATCGGTGATGTAGCCATGCTGAGGAGGGCACCTCTCAGCATTGCAACAACCAGTGGAGGTGTTGACCACAGGCAACGGCACTATGGCCCAAGGGGGGCGACGTAGCGGCAACCCGAAGCTTGATGGCGTAGACGCATAGCCGAAGATGATCGGCGGCAAGGTGTCGCCGTAGCCGGGCACTTGAACGGGTGATCAAGCCGATGTTGCACACAGCGGAACGACGAAGTTGAAGCCGGAGTTGATGCCGATGTCGGAGACGCGTAGATGTCGACGAGGCATTTTGCGACGCAAACCCGATCTCTAATCGGGAAAAAAAATACGAGCAAGCAACAGCGCTCGGTGGCATATGGTCCCGGTCCCTAGACCAAGTCCAGCAACTCCCCTGCCTCAACAGTACCAGCAGCAGCAACACATGCACAACATCTGTCTCCTCCTGGCCTCCACAGCCAGCCATGACCAAGTTGTTTACACCAAAATTTAGCACCTATGGACGAAATAGGGGAAAATTGCCAACGTTTGGAAAGTGCCGGGTTTCCTTCACAGTGCTGGTCAGACCGGAGGTATGTGGGCGGTCTGACCGCGGCCTAAATTCCGGTGTGACCGCAGGTATGTGGCCGGTCAGACCGTGAGGGTCCGAGCCTGAGTCTGTTTTCGTCGGGTCTTGGGTTTCCTTGCTTGGGAAAGCATGTTTCGGGTTTCCTTTGGTTTATATCCCGAGTTGGACGTGGAGGAGGGTTTGTAGAGGGCAAGACCAACCCCTATTTAAGGGACAAGGTCAGTTCAATTGTAATCCCCTGAACACACAATCTACTTGAATGAATCGCTTTTTCTTTTTTTTTTTTTACTTTTCAGCCATGTTTTCTATTTTACCTTAATTTTAGTTCATCTTTGTCGATTGTCCGCCGCCGCTGCGAGAGTGCGACACCTCTTTGTGGGTTTATGCTGAAAAACTTCCGTTTTGCTCACGAGACGGGTAGTTATCCTCGTATTGATCTAAATTGGCATAGAGGCTGATTTTGATCTCTAAATCGGCTCTGCTAGCCGGTTTAGCCGTTTTCTACAAAACCCATCTTGATTTGGCCTTTTGGCTAAATCGAGGTGGTTGGCGTTTAGGTGCTGCGATCGTGTTTATCGACTTGTCACAAAAAGTTGCCAACACGATTTTTGGCGACTACGTTGGAAATCGAAACTTCTGGCCATCCATAAGGCCGAAATTAATCTACATATTAATCATCAGAGAAAGCGCCGAATTAATCTATTCGGCGGCAAGATTTTGTGGTTATTCAGGAAATCAATCTACACAAATCCATAGCTGTTGCTATTCGATTTACATCTGCACCATAGCCGGCGTCGTCGTTGTCTGCGTTGAAGCCGATCGATTTGATCGGTTTGATAGCAGTAGACGCCGAGCAACAGCAGCAGGTCGTGTAGGTATTGCTGTAGAGCACGGCAAGAAAATCTTATTCAATTCGGTTTGCTGAGTATACGTGTTCTAGAGAAAAAAAAAATCAGGCTATCAAAGCCCGAAAAGGGTAGTTAGCGAATGTTCGCCATCACTAGATCACACGAATCAGTTAGAAGAGGGAACGCTACTTTCATGGACGCGACTACTCCGCGCGCGGTACCGCAATAGTCCTAACGCGCGACGCCAAACTTTCCAAAAATAGGAGCGCACTTTTTTCCCCACGCATACACACCTTGCCGAAATAAAGAAACGGCACGTTCCTTTCCCCACACGCGTGATGCTTCTATAAAAAAGGTGGTATGTGTTCCCCATTCTGAACTGAGGTGCAGGCGATGAATAGTGCCTCTATTAAACAAATGATTGAAAATAGAAATCAAAACACAAAGAGGAAGAGATTAGGAACAAGTAGAGAAGGTCTAGGGTTTCATACCCAAATTCAAATTTGAGGTCCATCAAAAAAAGCATACCCAAATCACAAACTTCACATGTAAGCTTATATTCCCCACAAATTCATAGATCTGTGATGAATTCTTGAAAAAAAAAAAACCACAAACAACCCCTCAAATTGGACTTCATACACTAAGCTGCATCTTCCTTTTTCTCTTTCTTTGAGTCCCTAAAATGAATTTTAGTTCGGATGTTTACAATTGAGTAAGCTATCTCCTTTTCTAACACTGCATCAAAAAAAGTCAAAAGGGTAACATGACATAAGTTACAGGTCAGAAAATTACTTCTAGAAACATATAAAATTACTTCATCAAAACATGAAAATTACTTCCCATAAAATATTTAAGTTACTTACCAATCACTTTTGAAATACTACAATGGTTAACAAGAAACTTAGTTACATTAGCTATGGATCCATACCCTAAGACTTCACCTCAATAACCTCTCAGAATTTTCATTCTGATATTTATACATTCGTTTGGTCTTTAAGTTACTAAAATTACTTCAAGTGCATTATAGAACATATATATATATATATATACATATATATATATATATACATATATACATATATACACATATATACATATATACACATATATACATATATACACATATATACATATATACACATATATACATATATACATATATATATATATACATATATATATATATACATATATATATATATGTACATATATATATATATACATATATATATATATGTACATATATATATATGTACATATATATATATGTACATATATATATGTACATATATATATATGTACATATATATATATGTATATATATATATATGTATATATGTGTATATATATATATGTGTATATATATATATGTGTATATATGTATATATGTATATATATATATATGTATATATATATATATATATATATATATATATGTATGTTCTATAAATCTTGTCTAAAAATGCACTTTATTCCTTAAGTTGATTGAATATAACATTTTGCAACTTTATCTCTAATGTTGTTTATACTCCACTAAGCTTCATCTCCATCTTTTATGATACCGCATTAAAAAGTTAAAACGGGAAAATGCATAAGTACCGGCTGAGTTACATATCAGAATGAATTTCCACAAAAAGTTACTTCTAAGTCCATGCAAAGTTACTTTCTTAAAACATAAAAGTTACTCCCCAGTAAATTTTGAAAATAACAATTGTTAAACTTAGTTGCAATGCTATGAAAACATGCAACTATATACCCAGACCCTCAAAGATCTAAGAGCCGAGAGAGGGCTACCGTATTTATCATACTCTTCTGCTCAAGACTCATGTGGGCATACAACTTTGTAATTTCCGTAGGGGAAGCTCTAGCATTTTCTTGCAGCCAATGTATGAAAATAAAACGACACACATTGGCATCCTTTATGAAACCGGAATAGAACTAACTAAAGTATTATTAGTTGTACTATACTATATAAGTTAATTCTACAACGTGCAAAGTTACTTCCACATCATGTAAAGTTACTTCTACAACATATAAAGTTACTTCTGCAACATGTAAATTATTTCCCATAAAATATTTAAGTTACTTTGAGTTTAAGGCATAAGTATCGGCTGAGTTACATATCAGAATGAATTTCCACAAAAAGTTACTTCTAAGTCCATGCAAAGTTACTTCCTTAAAACATAAAAGTTACTTCCCAGTAAATTTTGAAAATAACAATTATTAAACTTAGTTGCAATGCTATGAAAACATGCAGCTATAAACTCAGACCCTCAAAGATCTAAGAGCCGAGAGAAGGCTACCGTATTTATCATACTCTTCTGCTCAAGACTCATGTGGGCATACAACTTTGTAATTTCCATAGGGGAAGCTCTAGCATTTTCTTGCACCAATGTATGAAAATAAAAAGAAACACATTGGCATCCTTTATGAAACCGGAATAAAACTAACTAAAGTATTATTAGTTGCACTATACTATATAAGTTACTTTTACAACGTGCAAAGTTACTTCCACATCATGTAAAGTTACTTCTACAACATATAAAGTTACTTCTGCAACATGTAAAGTTGCTTTCATAACATGTTAAGTTACTTCTAGAACATATTAAGTTACTTATGTAACATGGATAGTTACTTCTACAGTAAAACAAAAAAACAGAAAAAAGTTGGTTGTTTAATACTTACTTTTTGCACTTTTTTGAGCAAGGATGCTCTACATCTTCTACATAATCTTCTCTCAAATCTCTCTTCTTCCATGTTGTACTACTCTCTTCCGGTTTTCAGTTTTTCTCGTTAGTTGCAGCGCGGTATTGATTGTTTCATTACTTGTTAACCCTTATCAATGTTGCCAAACATAAGTTTAGGTACCTTTGGCTTTAGTCTAACCATCCTAGTTTTGTATTCACTTAGTTTTCCCTGATTCCTCTCTAGATGTAGTAACTGCAAGAAAAAGGAAAAGTGAAAAGCAATCAGTACTTGAAGCAGGTTTATAGAAAATTACTTCTATAATATGTAAAATTACTTCTCAGTGGCATGCAAGTTACTTTTGAAAATTGATAAAATTACTTCTCAAATACAAAAACTTTGCATCATGTATATGATTATCTGCATCCGAAACTTGAAAAGAAGATGATTGAGCTATAGTGATTGTACACCAAGATTAATAATCATATTACAGGGACCAAATATGGATTTAATTACTATTCTACACAACCTAGAACTCATCATCTTCAGACCAGACTTCACCAGAATAGGTAGGAGGTTTAGACCTACATAACTGCATATTTGAAGTCTGCTAACTCAGGCAGAAACTGAGGCCTATAAGCCTGCTACCTTGGAACCCGACCAAGTCCCTACTTATTTGCTGATTGAGCTTGAATATGGCCCATTAGACCAACATGCTGCTAATCTAGGAGCAGCCTAATTTTCAGGGTTAATATAGATTCACATAAGCTCTGACTACGAGTACTCTGAACATTTTTTGCTAATAGAGAATGGTTAGCGAAGGCTAGAGGTAATGGTCACATACAGCAAAGCAACTAACATAATCGTCATCACCAAAGTTTGCTCACAAGAGTTCAGTGACTTAATTAACCTCGGGTAAAATCAACAAGCAGTAACAAATAACTGAGACCAAAAGTCGCTGTGTTTCACAACAAATATTTCATTCGCGAGCCCAGGAACAAAACAAGATAATCCATCTAGAGAAAAGAGAGATAGAGAAGTGATGAAAAACAATGAAATACTTGCAAGCACTTATGAAGCAACACTTGCAATCAGCTATCAGAATAATTGTCTGAAACTAAGAAAAAATGCAGTTTTTTTTGGGAGGTGCTGATGATAAACGAACTAGATCCAAGACGAAATGGAAGACACTGCATCTTTACCTCTCTCAAAGCTTGGCCCTGCACTGACGGGGCTCCGGACGGGCACGGGACCAACACTGAGCTGCCGCTCGGGGGCCTTGAGCTCTCTCGGCTAGGAGAAGTATGTACGAGGACGAGGACGTGGGTGGAGATTAGGAGGACGATGAGGAGCGGGAGGAGGTCGAGGAGCCAGGGGTGGAGCGCGACGGTGTCGGCGACCTGCGCCATGGTCATGTGCTAGGAGAGCACGGCCGGGTGCCGCAACGGCCGGTGGAACCCCACCACCGGCTCCAGCACCACCAGGTTGTTCGAGCGCCGACGCCGTCGTCGATGGCATCGCGGAATCCACCAAATCGTCATTGCATTTACCGGATTTTGGAGCGCTCGAGGGGACGGGATGAGGAATGCTCGACGATAGCAGTCGCCACGCCACAGCAGAAGCCCACAATCGTCGTCGCCCTCGCCGGATTTGTGGGAGAAAGACTCGCCGTCGCCTGATTTGTGAGAGAAATTCGCAGTGGGATTTGGGGGAAGAAACTGTGTTGGAGTGTCGGTCTCTCTTGGGTGTACCGGAGTCTGCCACGTGGCTTCCACTCGGGAATCTTCTCAGCTCCGCCCGCGCCTGGATCGGATGGCTACGCCAACGCGCTGGGCTCTCCCGCGTGTCGGGCGATACGACGAAATCGAGAGCGATCTTGAATTAGATTTTACGTATTTTTATATGTTTTCAGTTTTCTTTTTCCTTCTTTTACGCGATTGTTTCGTAATCTGTTACAAGTATTCTTTCTGTGTTTTTTCACTTTCTTTTTATCCGATTTCATTTTTTCCGTTATAGTTTTTATAGCATTTCAGTTTCCGTGGAAACTTTCAACTTTTTATATAGAGAATTTATATATGTAAATTATATATACATAAACTTTGTATATGTAAATTATATATATATAAATTCTGTATATGTAAAACTTTATATAGTAATTGCATCTGCAGTTAGAAAGTTAAATGTATAAATTTTACTAGAAATAATAAAATGTTGACGGATTTTTTTTAAATGAACAATTTACTATGAAACTTTCTATATAGACTTTCTATTGTTGTCGAAACGACAACTGCATACGTCGAAAGACGTGGTTACTCAACGATGGTTGGAAAAACGAAGTGTATTAAGTTTTGAATTTCACTTGGGGGATCCCCCTGTTACATGGCCCTAGGGGACTATTTATAGCCCCATTACAGGTTATTACTACTAGGGTTTAGGTTGTACAGGGGAATTTACATGATTACCCTTACGAAAGGGACATTTACAGGGGTACATAATGTTATAGGGGCTCATGGGCCCCTAATGGGCCGTCTGGCGATCGCCGGCCCTATAGCCCTTAGGCTTGATGGGCCGGAAAGGCTTCCTCGACCCTCGCGGGGCTAACTTGCCATGGCGAAGTCGTCTTCCTTCGGCAGGTAGTCTTCGCCTTGCACCCTTCGCCCGAGACGCCTCTGGCCTGGCAAGGCACTCGTACGACTCTTCGCCTTCCGCCGTTCTTGCTCCATAGCCTTTGCCACGGGTTTCGGCAGATTAGGTCGAAGGGCCTCATGCCATCCGCCATCAAGCCCCTCACAGGCAAGGGTGAGATTGGAGCTTCGGCCGAGACCGTGCAAACCATGTGGTATGGTATGTGGTGCCCCCTTTCGACCGATGCTCCTGCCGAAACCTACATTATCCCTGCCAATGAAGTTTGTTACTTGTGCGGCTGGTATTATTTTGCCGCGCTTCGCCTCGTGCGATTGGTGGTTATATATATTCTCTTTTCCCGGGCCGAACGGAACAGTATTGGGCCTTCCCTTCATGGGCTTTTTACTGTGCCGCTCGGACGGTGGGAATTTACCGTTTCGCCTACCCTTGTGACACGTGGTGCTTTATTATTGGTGGGTAGGCGAACGGTCGCCTGGGTGAGCTATATATTCCCACCCCTCTTTCCTTTTCATTGGTACGCTTGCCATTTTTACCGCGCGCACTCTCTTCCTCCGTCTCTTCCTTCCACAGCATTTCTTGACCCCTCAGGTGTTTCGCCCATTCTCTTCCTTCGCCACCGCATATACGCCGTTCGCCATGGCCCCTCGCAAGCCAAACCCAGCTTCGGCGAAAGGACCGGATCCTGGCCGGGTCGATGACGACAGCACCGCCTTTTTGGGGGTCTCTCTTGTGGACGACGTCGAGCTGGCGAAGCTGGTCAGCTCTGGGGCATTGGTTGAGGGGCAGGCTTTCGCCGCGGGGAAAGCCGTGGTGCCGAGGCCTATCGACAACTGGACAGTGGTGTTCGCCGTCTTTTTTGAGGCGGGGCTATGGTTTCCGTGCAACGTGTTGTTGCCGAAGATCCTTCACCTTTTCCAAGTGGAGCTTCCACAGCTGAGTCCGTCGGCGCTAGTTCGGATCTCCATCTTTGACTGGGCGTGCCGGACTTCCGGGTTTGAGCCCAGCGCCGAGCTCTTCGGCGCCATATTTTTCGCCACCGTGAACTCGAAGACGGTGATTACCCCAGCCGGAACGAAGAAGACAGTGTTCGGGAGCGTGAACTTTAACGTTCGCCCCGAGCGGTCTGATCTCTGGCCGGTGAACACTGCCATGTCGAAGTGGGACCGCCATTGGATGGCGAGGTGGTTCTATCACACCATCCCCTTCGCAGCTGGTTCTGACTCGGCAAAAGCCCTCCGGTGCCGGCGTAGGGTGATTGCGCCGAATCGGAAGCCTAAGATCGCCGTGGACGGCGCTATGGAGGCGCGGTTCGTCCTACTGTGCAAGGTTTGCTCCCGCCTTAGCTGCCGTGGCTTGGTGGAGGAGTTCTGTATGCTTCGCATCTTTCCCCTCTCCCAGTCATGGCGGGTCACGGTCGAGCAATGCGAAGAGGCTGATGGTTTGCCGAACTTGGTTCTTCCTGAGGGGATGAATAGTAAGACCGTTCTTTTGCTGTACACTCCTGTGCTTTGTTATTTTGCCTTGTCTGACCTTTAACACAGCTACACCCTTTACTTTTGCAGTGTCGACCCTCGATCAGGCTGAAGCCGAAGCCCGCAGGATGATCGGCGACGTTTCGGTCGTCGAGTATAGCCAGCTGCTAACACGACAAGCAGCTAGGCGGGCAAACCGGGTTTACAACGGTGAATTGCCTCCCCGGGTGAATCCCCAAAAAGCCGACAACGATGCAGGGCCTTCGCGAAAGCGGATGCGTGGACAAGTGAAGCTTGCCCCCAGGAAGCGAAGGGTTCTTGCTTCGTCGGACTCCGACGCCGACGATGAGGACAATGCCGAAGAACGTGACGGCGAGGAGGAAGGAGAGGAAGAAGAGGAGGTGGAGGCCGTGGCCGATAAGGCCGCGAACGAGGCGACCGAAGACCGCGTCGACACGCCCGGCTACACTCCTACCCCAAGTCTAGGTCACAACGAGACCGGGGTGGAGTCGAACAGCTCCCTCCTTCGACGAAAGGATTTGGAAGGGGCGAAGGCCCTAGTTGCGTTCTCGTCGGGCAAGGCGGCGAAAGGAGGTCTGGTCAAGAAGATCTCAAAAAAGAAGGGACTCGTCGACATCGCTCGCGTTTTCAGTGACGACGAGTCTTCTGACGAGACTCCGACCTCACCTGCTGGCCGCAGTTTGGACCTTTCGACTGCTCCCCTTGCTCCGCTCGGCGTTGCTGGGGCCGGCGGTAGCGCCGCCGCCGGGGCTTCCGCCTCCACCGAACGGATCGTGTCGGCTGCGGCGAGGGTTTTCGGGAGCCCTGTGCGCAAGCCAGCCATTTCGCCGCTGGTCAAGGCGAAGGGGAAGTGTGCGGCCGCCGAAGCATCTGCCTCGGAGTATTCCCTTGCGGCGCCCCACTTCGCCCCTGGTGACTTCGAGACCCGGGCGGACCTTATTCCCTTTGTGGAGGGAGTAAGCAATCTTGTCTTGCCTGCCGGCACCCCGAGCCTGTTCACCGAATTTAACGAGTTCGACGAGGGGTGTTCCACCATTAAAAGTCTGGCGGTTCGGGTATGCCTTTTCTTCCTTCTTCGTTTTCCTCTTCCCTCTTTTTTTTTACGTCTCGCAATTAACCTTTTGTCCTTTTCGTCCGCTCCTATCTTTCATCTAGATTCTTGCGGCTCACTGTTCGACGGAGCGAACCGTGCGGGCCCGTTTTGACGGTTTTAAGAGCCGTCTTCGGGCCAAGGACGACGAAATAAGCCGCAAGAACCTGGAGGTGGAGTCCCTGGCCCGCGTACTCAAGGAGGCGAAGACTGAAGTCAAACGCCTTCAGTCCGAATTGGACAAGGGGAAAGAGGCCTGGGCCGAGGTTGATCGCCTCAAGGCCGAACTGGAGAAAGAGAAGGCCCATTCGGCGGTGCTCATCGACTACTACAACCTTACTGAGCCGAAGATGGAGGCTCTTTGCCAGAAGGCTAGCAGGGCCGAGGCGAGCGCCGCGGAGGAGTCGCAGCGGTTTTCGTGGGAGAAGGCGAAGATCACCGAATCCGCAAGAACGGCTTGCCAAACGCTCCGCCTCGCCTTACCGACATGGGCGCGAAGGTGCGGGGGGTCCCTGCCGAGGATGCCTCAGCCTTCGACTTCTCCGAGTGGACCCAGCAGGCTGGCGGATCGGTTTCGGACTGCGCCACCGCGTATGGCGATTGCTGTGCGCGTGTATCGGCGGCCTTCACCTTAGGCCTTCTGCAGCAGTTCGGCTGCGAGCACATCGCCGAGTTCCCTACCTATGTAAGGGGGGACTGGGAGATTAGTGCGCAGAACATTTCGCCAGCTCTTCGCGCGTGGCGAAAACAGTTCTGGCAGAAGGATGGCCGGTCCGCTGCCAAAGCGTGCCTCCTGGAGCAACTAACGAAGGCGGAGGCGGCAGATCGGGGCGAAGAGGAGGAAGCCGCGGGCGAAGAGGTTGGAGGCGATGCTCAGGATCACCCAGAGGTGTGAGGCCCTCCGCCCTTTCCTTAGATTTTTGTAGTTTTCCTCCCTCTTTTGCGTTTGCCTGGAGAGGCGAATGATGTATATTCGGCAGGCTGCCGATGAACCTTAAAAAAGGCTTTTTTGTACATTTGGAATATATGACACAATCTTAATTGCTTTTTGATGATCGAGGTCTTTGGCATATTTTTATTTCGCTCATTTCGCATTATGCCATACCTCCCCCTGCTTCCGCCTATTCTTACCATGTAAGCTGTGTTTTGCTATTTCTGCGCTGTCTATCAGGGGGTTCGCCGAAAGTCATGCATTCGGCCCCCTTCCAGGAGCTGGCAAAGTCAAAACGAGAAATTTGTGGCAATGAAGGGTCTGCCGAAGGTGCGATGTCCATTTCGGCCTGTTTATCGCGAAATGGAGATAAACGGTCGCAGCTACAAGGTTTTCAAGGTTGCCAACTGGCTGCGGGCGCACCCCGGGTGAACCTGAGAAGATTACGATCTTGTTCATTCAAGACCCTCAGAAGACGTTTGGAGGATATGGCTCGTTTTTGGCGAAACCATCAGAAGACTAATCGTCAGGAAACGATCTTTCAGCGTCGTTACAGTTTAGTCTGTGTATCGCCCCCTACTCCTCTTAAGGTTGTG